TTCAGATATGTCTCTCTGTGTTGGAAGACCGTCTTTATGATGTGAAACTGTTTTATATGTGAAACACAACACAATAGATGTTTTAAGTCTCAGTGTTGCGTGTCTGTTAGATAATACATGTGAAACATTTAGTCGACTGCTTGCTTGCGGTGCACGGTCACTGATGAGTTCTGTGTGTGCTGTGAGAAAGCTGGAACACTGATAAATCCAGGTTTTACTAAAGTGGGCGGAGCTTTAGTTTTTACTCCAGAAGTTCGTGTGCACCTTATTCCTTTGTAATGGGGTGGGGGCAAACACACACACGTGGTAACAGGTTACCTTTTCCTACTGAATTCATTATTGGGTTAAGTTTTCTCAGTTGTCCAAGCGCTAACTAATCCATGACTATTGTTGTATCATGTGGTGTAAACTGTGGTAACCTGATTGTTTTTGTATTTTAGTGTAAAATAAGCTAAGCGTGTACAGTGGATTCCTTGGTGGATTATCCACTTTGTATTAAAACCTCTGTTTTCTACAGAAAACTTGTTTGAGTTAATGTTTCAATTAGTGTTTCAGTTTCAGGCTGGAATGAAGCTGAAATTGAAGCCTTCGTTGCCCAGCAGCAAACACACAGCACCCTTATATGCAGTGACAGTATTTGCCCACTGAAGGGTGCTGTTGAATAATGCAGATGTCTGTCTCCAATTGTGTTTTCAGATTAATGACGTTATAATAGCTTCTTGTGTCTTGGAAGCACTCATGAGCCAGTTAAGGTTTTTTCTACATACAAATACACTTTAGCTTGTTACATATTGTTCACTGTTGCCATGAACAGTTTTTTCATGGCAGTATTACCTAGTATATTTCACTTCCCGCCCTCAGCATACTCGGTGATCAGTTGTTGTTATCAATAAGTAAACATAAGCCCATATTTTCCATGAAATTGCCCTTTAACATAAGATGAACTAAACAAAATTTTAGTATGGAAAACTAACCGAGCTTATCCCTGCAGTAATTCTTCTAATTACACATACAGATCTGTGATTGAAGATTACGACAAATTGAAATACAAAATTCTCAGTGCCATTTTCAAAAGATGTTGTTTTAATGCAGTTTTATAGTAGAAGGATTTCCTGTTTGCATATATTTCGTTAACTGCGCAGTGTGCTCCTTTAGTCCTGCACACAGATGAGTCAGAATATTACGACCGCCTGCCTGTTGTTCATGTGCCTGATGTGCAGTCCAAACAGTTTGGATACGGGACTGCTGGGGGTCCTGTCCTGTTTCCTGACACCAGGACTTTGGCCGTGTATCTTTTGGGT